ATTGTTAATATTACACCGCCGAATAGCTTGGGTATAACAAATGAACCATATGTTGTTGTTAAATGGCGAACTAATCAAAATTAACACTCATAGACTTCTACAGATAAGAAAATAAATAAATGCATGACGAATATTTGAAATGCAGATTACAAATTAATCCGACTATAGTAATCGAAAAGTCTTCCATAACAGGGAGGTCATTACTTCCATAAACTGAATTTTCTAACAAAAGTCCTTCTACACCCATAAACTGAAATTTTTAACAAAAGTCCTTCTACTGTTAGAAAAAGCACTTCTAGATGTATTCGTCGGATGGAAATGTACCTACAATTTTAGAAGTGCCCCTATAAGGAGAAGGAACTTCTCGAGGTAATTTAGAAATAGAAGACTTTTTTGAAGACTACAGAAACTTCTAAAGCCACTTTAACTTCATCAAGGCTCCTATAGAACGGATTATTTCATTTGGTCTTTCTATGGATATGATACATTCTCAGGTCTTTTAATGGTGACAATAGATTTTGGAGGGTCAAAGGCTTGACTTCTATAAAACAGTTATTTTTCAATTTCATTTTGATAGAAGTGCTCGAGTAGATGTATTCGTCGGATGGAAATGTACCTACAATTTTAGAAGTGCCCCTATAAGGAGAAGGAACTTCTCGAGGTAATTTAGAAATAGAAGACTTTTTTGAAGACTACAGAAACTTCTAAAGCCACTTTAACTTCATCAAGGCTCCTATAGAACGGATTATTACAAATTACAAAAAACAATTTCGAAACCATTTTAGCAAAAAATTAACTTTGCCATGTAAAATATAAAAAATATGACGGGAAGATAGCCACCCTGCGATTGTCCCTAATCTATATATCTATATATGTACATTTTCCCCGGATTCCTCGGATGGGGATTTTTAAAATTGCACCCATAAGGTGGAAGAACTTCTCCTAGTAATTTAAAAACAGAAGTCTTTTTGAACAAATTTCAATGACACAATCCCTTTTTTAGATTTTGGAGGGTCAAATGGCTTCTAAATGTTTTCATTCCCCTTGGGCCACCCTGCGATTATCCCCAATCTATGTATTTACATCTTACCTCTGCTAAGTAATCTATTTGTCCCATATAGCGTATGAGCAATATATATAATTTACAGTCGTCATGGCGTATGAGCAACGTATGTAATTAAAATGGAGGATTATCTGAGCTCTTAGTGTGTGCCCTGATAGTGATACCCTTTTATGACAGCGATAGGGGAAATTGTTGGAATAAATATATAAATTCTGACAACTTTCCCGATACATTACTACTTAATAAAATATCCAGCATGGAATATACTCTGAGATTTCTGATCCATTTTCTTTCATACACAGATTACTCCTAATACCATTAGATGAATAGATGTTTACTGTCGTAGCAATTCTAACAAATTGAATTATATTTCACATTTCTTTACACACAACTTGAGGCAGCTTTGTTATTCATAGTGGGGATTTTTAAGATCCCAACACGTTAAGTATTATATTTTTCATCCTTTCAATTTTATTTTCTTGTAAAACAACAGATTTCAATTGAAAAATCTTCTTCCAAAGCCTAATAAATTTAAGCCCTCAAAGGTTCACAACATTTTGAACATGGCTGTCCATTAACCGGGTGTGCTTGGAGCAGTAGAAATGCTTGTCGTGGCTGTTAATCTGTCTAGTTCCAACTCCTAAGTTTAACAATTCAGCAACCTTTAGAGGCTAAACTTAGTCGCCCAAAAACTACCCTAGATTGTCCAGGCTGTCGACATTCTTTAGCAGTAATGCAATAGACACGTATATTTGTCCTTCCTGACTGTGTGGGGGATCATCATATGATCACAGGTGTAATAAGTTGGCGTCCTGTTACAGTTTATTGAGCTGAACATTTCTATAATTCAGAACTAGTATTGAGTTGCATACGAATTTGTTAATCCTGATAAGATAGTAAACGACAATCCTTTACAGGGTGAAATAAAATAATGCAACAAAGTCAAACGCCATATTTTTTTTTTAAATTTTATTGACTGAAAGCAAAAAATGTCGGAAATAGCATCAAATTTTAGAATAAGTTTAGATTTGTTAGAATTGATTACCTTTGGCACGAATTGTGGCCTTCGAACGGTCAATGAAACCGTCAATGTTGCTCTGCGGTATTTTGGCCCATTTCCGGCGAAGCGCTTGCTTAAGATGATCCAAACTTTAGTATTTTTTAGTGCCAGCCTTCCGACTCCAGAGACAATAGTGCAGCGGAATGGTATCCGGAGATTTTGGGGGCCGTTGTGCGCTGGAAATAAACCGAGGAACCTTCTTATTTTGTAACCATCCTTGGATGGCGCGTGCTGAGACCTTTTGGAATGTCCAAGGTCTGCGGCCAAAATGATTGCGTGCCCAAGGCTTTAATACACCCTCCAGAATATTTTCGCTATAATATTCGGCATTTATTCTGATGCCACGGTCGATTAATACGAGCGGAGGCTGTTATGACGGGTCACACCATCACCATGGCCGGCACTGGAGTTCTGGTGGCCAACCGAAGCTGCACATTTTCAGCTGACCCCTTTGGCAAGTAAACACGATCATTTTGTTTGTTTACAAACTGCTGGGCAACGAGTGTTTTCTCATCGAAGAAAACCAAATTGGGCAGTTTACCACTTTCGGCCAAGCGAAGCAACTCTTTACTCTTTTCCGTCTATTTCCTTTCTGTTGCGGTGTAAGTTCTTGCACTTTTTGGTATTTGCCGAATGGAATAATGTGATATATTCAGCTCACGAGCCATTTTTCTTTACTTTTCGAACAATTTCTGCTGATGTTGCTGTTTTCTTCCGTCCACTTCCTTGACGTCGGGCTACGCTACCAGTATCACGGTAACGAGCGATGGTACGAGACACTAAAGATTTATTCACATTTAAATGCTGGAGAGCTCTAACGACAGCCACTTGTGGTTTTACAGTCAAATGCAAATAAATCACACTATAACGCTTGAATTCCATCATTCCATCAATTCTGGAAAATTCTCACCAAAATGCTTTTGTACGCTTGTAAACAATAGGTGTGTCTGGTTACTGGAAGTCGTATTTTAACCCGAAAATTCTGCAAACGAGAGCGGTTCAGAGAGAAATTTTGACAGTTCTTTCAGTGAGAGTTTGCAAATTCTTGCTGGACAAATTTTTTCTTGCAATCTCTTGCAACTCTTCTTCTTCTCATTCATCGGCATTCAATCAGATGTTTATTATTTTTGTTTATTTATGTTTTTGTGCTTTTAATTCGAAAATATTGTTTTGGAATTAGCAAGACTAATTGTTTTTGGAGAACAACTTTACAAAATGTGAAAAACACAAATATTAATATGCAATTAGAAAATAAAAGACTATTTTTAGACAAACGCCATTAGTAACAGGTTTTAAGGATTCCGCGGAACACATCAAATCTATCTTCCTTTTATTGCTCATATTTTTATTTTATTGACAATTTGATTTTTATTTATAAAACTTGTAGAATTGGTAGTGCTCCCTTTCTTTTAATTCTTTTAATGGGGGACAAATTGGTTTGTTTTGACAAATCAGCTGATTAGTTGCAAGCTTCTGCAGGAATGCCGTCTGTTTACACACCTAATATAATGAGCTGTCACTGGAATAATTTTAACAGCTGTCGGACGAGGGGCTTAGAAATGACAGCAGTCTGAAGTTGTTTGCAGTTTTTTCAACTCATATGTATATGGTCCTTATGATCATTGTCCTTCAAAACTTGAAAACTCCACTTTTGTTCCTGTCCTGTTCCTAATCTTCTTCTCATTCATTCTATTTTAATTTTTATTGAGGAACATTTGACATTCTGAATGATAAATGTCATTGCTAACTCGGTCTTTTCTCGCCATCAATAGATGAAAAATTCAAGACATCACAAAAAAGAAAACACCTCCCATTGCAATTGCTTGTTTCCCTGAAATTTCATTCCATAATCTCCATGTGCTCTGTAGATAGATGCCAAAGTGAGTTGGGTTAGTTAATTTCAAATGTAATTTGTTGCTTTACTGTGTACAAGAACAAAATAGGTAGGTACGAGCGACGGAAGTTCAAAAGCACAGACAAAACGAGACATATTTTTTTCAGTTCTTTTTTGGTTTTTTTATTTTTTTTCTTTTTCAAATATTTTATTTCTACATTTTCATCTACACTTCATAACTTGTTGTTGTCTTCACACATTTGTCTTGTGCATGTGGGTTTCACGTCACACGACGGTGGACGTGTGGTGGATGAAATGAATATTGTTGCTTATTTTCGTTTCAGGCTACATGCAAGTGTACTTAGAGCGGTCTTTTTTGTTATTATAATCTTTCTTAGACCAACAATTCAAAGAGAGAAACTCTTTAGTTGTCTTAAATTTTTATAACAACAACACGACGTGAACTTTCTTTGATAGCGGCAGTAGTGTGTTACAACAGTGTCTCTTGCCGTTTTTGTTTTGTTGTTGATTATTATTTAGCCGGTAGCTTGGTTGACTGTGGCTAATGTTTGCTTGTAAATTCTTTACAAAATGTCAGTTTGGTTCTCCTTCTCATTGTCGTTGAAAACATTTTGCGCTCTTTTTCTCTCTCACAATTCATTGTTGTTGATGATTGTGTGTGTGGCACGTTGTGTGTGCCAAGTCAGCTGAGAGTGAAATGTTAGAGTGGGAATTTCATTTCATTCATCCTTGCTATGATGTTTTCGCTCCACATTACTCCTGCCTTTCTCCTTCTTTCCATCCTTGTGTGAATTGTGGTTGTTGTTGTTATTGTAAACAAAACGTTCTTGGTTTGCCATTTACTCCACTAACAAGTATTACTTTATATCTCGTTGTCTTACATATAGAAATTTTGCTCCTGTAAATTGTTTGTTGTTGATTTAAGTTTCCTTTGCATTTGTGATTAATGCCATTTGTTAATATTTAATAGATTTCAATTTTTTTAATCCCGTTTACTTTATTTTTTTTTTTTTTAATTCCAGGGAAAATCCACAAAGTCGTCAAACAAGTCGAAATAAAACAAGAACCTAATGAAGCTTCATCTGCAGCAGCAGCAGCGAACACAGTATTTGCCTCCACAGTTGGCGGCAACATGGGCACATTTACACAAATGGTAAGTATCTGCGGGGAATTTAAAAATGAAAGAATGAAACGAAAATGAGCAACAAGGACAAGGCATAGCCATACATGGCTGATGAATTTCCCCTATATATTCGCTTAATTTTCGATATGTTGAACCAGTTATCGAGCAAACTGTTATTTTTTAGGGACAACTAATATTTCGGTTGAACTTTTATGGGCGGGACGTTGTGCTCAGAGGGTCAAACGTCGTATGGTGCCATTTTGGATCTTCAAATGATTTAATCTCAGATTATAATTTCATTAAGTTTCGTCGAGTGAAGAGGGTCTGACTATATAAACTACTTTAAGAGTTAATCTGTATTGTCCTTGAGGGCAAGTATTACAAGTCGGGTGAACTGTAAGCAAACTGCAAACATGAGTTGGCTTTTTATCTTCAAAGACGACACTTTTTTATTTATTTTATTATTATCTGATCAGAGCTCTTTATAGTTCGTCGTGGGACTTTACATAAGTAACTATTAATCTGTGTTGTCATTAAGGACAAGTACTACAAATCAGTTGAACTTACCTTTGGATTTGACCACAGACAGAACCCTCTCTATTAGATGTGCGGATCTATAATAATTCGTATTCTGTCCAGTTTTTCTAGCCCAATCGAAATGAAAACTAAACGAATTCAGTCGTTCGAACAGTTTCACGTTCGTCCTGATAAGCTGAAGCTCCTTATCAGTGAGCTTTGATGAATTAGTATTGGGTCCGCTGGGACTATTCAGGTCGACTACCTAGGGAGTGAACCCCTGACTGCTACCGTGGAATACATGTCCTCTTCTTCATCAGACAAACCACATGTCTACAAGGATGCTGTCCTGGCTCAGTCTTAACGGTCCATATCCGCGATAATTTGTCGGAGTGCAATATGCAGTCTGGTAATAACTTTTCTTCCATATGACAACGACGTCGTGAATGGACTGAGGTCGACCATGGCATAACCTCCATACCACGGCATGGACTCGCTAACTAAGCATGATATGCATTGAGACGTCCTGGTATCAATGAAGCTCCGTTAGAATACATTCGGTAGCCCGACTGCAAACCTGTAACACTGATGGGCACGTGGTCCCATAATACTCTAGCGTTAGGGGGTCCTCTTTATGTTGGGGTGGTCACCACAGAGGCTTGTGTATTATAGGTGCGCCGAAACATCGCCTTGTCGGTCGAAGGATCATAAGAACTCAGGTATTTAAGCCGAGACTCTCCCCCAGTCCTGTTGACTGTCGGCAACTGCTTATTAAATTCTCATTTTACTTATCGACTGGGCTCTCCACTACACGCAATTTGCGGACGCGTCCAATAGCAGTCAGCAATGCTCCCCGAAGGCCGTTAAATTTTGGTCTATAATTTAAGATTGACAGTAAAACAAAACACAAAACGCAGGAGAGCTATTTAAGCCAGTGTTTAAAAAAATATTAGCTAAAAAATAAAACTTTAAATGACAAGAACATGACAAATATTAGTTTGGAAGACTAAGTAGTATAGATCGAGGTTCCGCTCAAAAATTTTGGGTACTCTTACTTTAAACCTTTAACGCTGATGGACTCAGTATGGCAATCACTCAAGACTGACGATGTTGCAGGTGGGAGGCTCCAATATTTCACTTCATCGATCCGTAGATCACTTGTCCCTTAATGGTTCCGAGTTAACCCGGATTTCAAAGGATCTTAGTAGTAGGCGCCAATTTGTTACCTCACCTAGAGGAACTTTCCTCTTCGAAACTCATCGCAGATGCAAACATAAACGTGATTTTTTTGGACATTCTTGACCGTAATATCTAAAGATTAAGTTATGTTTTGGGCGCGTAACTATCAATTTATATAAGACGGCTACTTTGCTAGAAGTAAAACGATCCATTGTGATCGACCTTAAAATATGTACAGAACGAAGGAAAAAAAATGGGTGCGTAGTAGAAGGGCGAGTAGAGTGAAAAATTGAAGCTTTTAATAGAAGATCAATTAGATATGTTCCACACCGATCTAAGAATCTCAAGGGAGGTTGGGAGTTTATAACTCAAAATAGACTAATAATTATGCCTCTGATCTATAAGTTAAGGATATCGTAAAGAAATGTGTTCAACCATCACTTGCTATGGATCTTATACCAAAGTGGCAAAGCATCTAATTTGATTTGCCGGAAGAAAGTTGGGACCGAAAAGTTAATGTCCTTGTCGATTGTCTGTAAAACAGGTTTATATTGATTATTCACCACGTTAAAGTGAAAAAGAGGTTATACGAGGTGAGGTATGACTATGATTTTGATACACTATATCAGAATAAAACAACGATATTATTTTCCCTCCCAGATTCTTGGTTTTGTAGAATTGCTACTAAATGTGGTTTTAAGCTAGACTTTTAACATTGATTTTAATTACCCAGTCTAAGTGGAAAGGTGATTCTAATAAAAAACAAACGTAACACAAGCTTAGCCGTTTAAAACTTAAACAGCTCTAGAGATTCCTTTTCGTTAAAACATGGACCTACTAATGTGTTCTATATTCGAAGAAAATACTAAAATTTCCGATAAAACCGAAAAAGTATGTTATCTCTAACCTATCAATTATCCTCATCATTTGGGACCTACAGAGTGAGATAAAAAAAATCGGCAACAAAGTCAAATGCCATAATTTAAATTTTTTTTAATTTTATTGAATGAAAGCAAAAAATGTCGGAAATAGCATTAAATTTTAGAATAAGTTTGGATTTGTCTACCATGGCACAAATTATGGCCTTGAAACGGCCAATGAAACCGTCACACGCTGCCCGAATGTTGTTCTGCGGTATTTTGACCCATTCCCGGCGAAGCGCTTGCTTGAGTTGATCGACATTTTGGTATTTTTTAGTGCCAACCTTGTTTTCCAAAATACTCCAGACACAATAGTCCAATGGATTGGTACTCTGAGATTTTTGTGGCCATTTGGCGCTGGAGGAGGAACCTCTTTTTGTAACCATTCTTGGGTTGTGCGAGCTGAGTGCGATGGTGCTGAGTCCTGTTGGAATGTCCAAGGCCTGCGGGCAAAATGTTTGCGTGTCCAAGGCTTTAATACACATTCAGCAAAGCAACTCTTTAGCTCTTTTGAGTCTATTTTCTTTACGTTGCGGTGTAAGTTCTTGCACTTTTTGGAATTTCAATGGCTTTACCCCGAGCTCATTTTTTCAATATTTGCCGAATGGAATATTGCGATATGTTCAGCTCACAAGCCATTTTTCGGCCACTGCGACGCGGTTTTCGATCAAGTCGCTTCTTTATTTTCGAACCATTTCTGCTGGTGTTACTGTTTTCTTCCGTCCACTTCCTTGATGTCGGGCTACGCAACCAGTATAACGGTAACGAGCGATGGTATGAGACACAAAATTGCTGGAGAGACACATTTAAATGCTAGAGTGCTCTAACAATAACCACTTGTGGTTTTCAAGTCAAATATAAAGAAATCACACTATTACGCTTAAATTCCATCACGAATAATTTTTTTTTCTGGAAAATTCTCACCAATATGCTTTTGAACGCTCTACACAATGTAATGAGTTGTCGCTGCAGTTGTTTGCAGTTTTTTCATCTCAACCTGTAATGACAAATCTTCTTCTAGAAGCTCCATTGGATTTTATACAAAATGTTATTTTCAAGTATAATATATTCATATTAATTTCTCTTTCCAGAACAACAGTCAACCTCAATTTGTCAGAATACAGAGCAGTTATAACATCCAAACGGCAGAAAGTAAGTTTAGACAAGTGTTACAATTCAAAGTGGGAAACCATGTTTAATTCTTGATATAATTTTTTATACGATTCTCTTCCAGATACCACATACACAGTCATAACACCACACAGTAGTAGTGGCAGTACTCAAAACACCAGTGGAACACCAGCGAATGCCAGTAATATGCAAAGACAACAGCAACAACACAACAATACAAATATCACAACAATAAAATATGAACCTGTGGAGGAATTTACGACGCATACGGTTAGTGTTGAACAAGAAAATGGAAAATAAATTAATGCAAATTCTAATTATGAGAATTAAATTTTGAATTTTTATCTTCTCTGAAACCCACACAAACACACGCACGCGCACTCACATACACATGTAAATAGACGGTGGTTAAAGAAGAGGAGCGCTACAAATACAAACCACAAATTCTAGCCAATAATGCGAAAGCAGCGGCTAATAAATTAAAAATGTAAGTTGGGTTTTTCCCAAAAAAGGGAAGAAATAATAGTTTGTGTAATATTCAAATCATTTTATAATTCAGCAACACAACAACAACCAGCCATCAAAATGCATCTGTAGTACAAAGAAAACGTAAACCCGAAAAAGCCGGCAAGGGCTTGCGTCACTTCTCGCTGAAAGTCTGCGAGAAAGTCAAAGTGAAGGGCACCACCACCTACAATGAGGTAGCCGATGAACTGGTGGCGGAAGAAATTCAAAATAATTCCTTCGACAAGAACTGTGATCAAAAGAATATTCGACGCCGTGTCTATGATGCTTTAAACGTTTTAATGGCATTACAAATAATATCCAAAGATAAAAAGGAAATACGTTGGATTGGTTTGCCCTCCAGTGCGGTAGAGGTTAGTAGCAATGAAACTGAATGAAGAACTAGGGGTACTGATATCTAAATGCAAAGAAAAACAACATTCCAAAATATGAATATAATTTTTGGAAAAGTATTTTTCGTTCGCATTCACTGTCGTATCGTCAAACTGGAAGACTCCTTCTTAAACAATGCGAAATTTGATATCCAATTTTGTTTTTTTGTACACTTCACAGGAATGCTCACAATTGGAAAAGGAGAATGAAGAACGCCGGGAACGTATCAAACAAAAGCACCAACAGTTGAGAGAACTGCTGCTGCAACAAGTCTCGTTTAAGAGTCTCATTGAACGCAACAAAGAAGCCGAAAGACAGGGCATCATACCCACAGCAAATTCATCCATACAATTACCATTTATTATTGTAAATACGCATAAATCAACCAAAATTAATTGTAGTGTAACCAATGATAAGTAAGTTCTGATTGTGAATAACTTGATCAGTCGAGTGAGTATTGTTGTAAAAATTTCTTATTCTAGGTCGGAGTATATTTTCAAATTTGATGATAAATTTGAAATGCATGATGATGCAGAGGTCTTAAAACGTATGGGTTTACTGTTTGGTAAGTTTGTTTTTCTACAAATTTCTGTTATCCTTAAAACTAAGATGCATTTTTTCTCTTTTGGCTTAAGGTTTGGACAAGGGCCACTGTTCATATGAGGACATTGAACGAGCCAAGTCATTGGTGCCACCAAACTTCGAAAAATATATTGAAGGTAAATGTTAAATATAAGAATACCTAGTATATAGGTATTCTAGTAGTAAATGTTTCTAAGACAAAAGCAATGACATTTGGTTCACCTTGCCGACTGAATAGCGGTATTAATATACAGGTTAATGGTGTAGCGGTGGATTTTGTTGATCGCATAAATTGTTTAGGTGTTGTCCTTGATGCCAAGCTTGATTTTTCTTTGCATATTGATGCACTGTACCCAAAGTTATAAATATGCTCCGAAAATTACACTCAACTGATTTCTATTTGCCCTTATTTGTAAAGAGAAATCTTGCTCATTCTATGTTATTTTCGGTAATTTCCTACTGTATTGAAGTGATTTCTGGTACAACACATGAGTATTTAATGAAATTAGAAAAACTTTTTAACATCATTGTAAGATATGTTTATAATTTGCGTCGTTTTGACCATATTTCTGCGCATGCAGTCCTCTTTCTAGGAGTGTCATTCTCTACTTTTGTTAAACAACGCGTGGTTTCATTTCTATATAAATGTATCTGTTTAAATCTTCCCGGTTTTCAGCGAGATCGGCTAGTGTTCTCTCGGTCTACTAGGAATACGCAAATAATTTTCCCTCATTTTTCTACGTCTCTATATGAAAGATCTTTCATAGTTCGTTCCGCACGAATCTGGAATCAGCTTCCAGCTGAGCTGCGACAATTCTCGTTTTCCCGCGGTGTTTTTCGCCGCATGTTTGAAAACTTTGTAGAGGCAAATGGAGGTTAACAATTTGTTTGTTAATGATATTGACGACACTGTATCGTTTGATTCAATATTGTTTTTTTATTACCAGCAATAGACTTAAATTTATTTTCATTGGCTGTCCATATTTTACATATGATTTCTTAGGTTACTTTAAGATACACTATGTAATATTTTTAAGATGTTTTTTTTTTTTATTTTGGAGTACACATTTGTAGTTTTCTGATAGTTGTGATACTTATTGGCCTAATGGCTTTTTCATTGCAACATATAAATAAATAAATGAAATGAAATGAATACATAAAAAAGTATTCTGTTCAGATTTGAAATGGTTAGATTAGAGCGAAGAATGTGTGTGATGGCCTGGACAAGAACTTTTTATTAACATTTTCGACAGCAACTCTCCATCTCAAGTAGATCGTCTTGACAGAGTAGCATATGCTGCTATTATGTTGCTGCTTCTCAGACAGGAGAGCATTCATGCAGATATTTTTGATTCAACGGTCATTTCATCGACTTCAGTTAATAACTAACACTTTGACCAGACATCCGGCAAGCTCCCTTCTATCACTTAATAATACTAACCTAAGAATCGCGATAGGAATACTGATTGGCCACTGTAGTATCAGATCGATATCTGAACTCGAGATGGAATAACATTGTTCATGAATACTGTAGACTATGTAAAGATGAACAAGAGATAGAGACGATTGAACAAGTACTATACAAATGTTCCATGTTATCTTCTAGCGTCCTTTTCATATAGACCCCATCATTATCTACAAGTTTGTCAAAAACTTTCCCTGGCCAAGTAGACCGTCCTGCTAACTGTGCTGTTTCTATCTCTCACCTATCACCAACAACTATATTTCTGCCTAGTATGAACACAATTTACCAAAGGTCTCCGATTGAAGCAGTTGCCGACCGTTGTGCAGCTGCGCATCGTAAAAGCAAAACCTAACCAGAACAAATCGCGACATAGAACAGTGTTGGTAGTCCTTGACTTATCGCAGGCGTTTGAAACAGAAACAAAATATCCTCCAGTAAATTAAATGCCACACTCTTTACCACATTATCTGCGAAGATGAGAACACAGCTGAATGTACAGATCAATGGAGACTCGATTCCGACCACGAATTACCTCAAGATCCTAGGGGTCACGTTCAACAGCAAGTTCAAGTCTTCTTCGCAACACACATCTACTTAAAATATATTAAAAAATTAGGAACAAGGTCTTTAAGCCGACCCTACTTGCGGTGCGGATAAGGAGACTTTACTGACCTCTTATAACGCGTTAAGTCGGTAACGCAGTGGAAGCCTTGCCTTGCCACCTCACGTCAGCATTATCAGATGCTTTCATTGCAGTGCCTGCAACGTAAAAGTGAAAGTCATTCAAACAATCAAATGATAGATAAGACTCTCCCACCCAGACGTTTCAGATAGAAAAAACTATGAAATTTTTAAAATAAAGAAGTCGTACTTTGATGCTGTATAGAGCTCTTGGCAAATGACTGTCAACAAACCTTCAACGTCTGCGAACATAACAACTTTTGTTTAATTTCAAAATTTTCAATGAAAAATGTGAAGAGCTTGATTTCCGAGGGTAGGGTTCTTAATTTCCTGAACCCTGTTGTTCGATACTTTCAGTTCATTTCCATACTTTGTATAGTCTATAAGCATCTTCTACTGAATTCTACAATTTGCAAGCCATCGACCGTTTTTAGTACGAGGAATGCGGGGAATTATAGGCCCATTAAAACTTTATGCTTCATTAAATATGCTCTCAATTCCATGATGAAGCCTATAATGAAAAACATTATGATTTAATTTAAAAATCTTATAAACGCGTGAAAACTTTGCCAAAAAGGAAATTTAGGGTTTTAATTTTTCATCGGTGCCCGCCCACTTCTGTTGGTTACATTATTTATTCTTCCACATGACTGATTTATATTAGTTTAATGCAATACATTGCCCATATTTATTTTCAGCTTATGGTAATGGTAAAGCCAATGATGACATCGCCTACGATTCTGATGAAGACATGACCACCCATGACTATATCGAGTTGATGCAAGACAACTCAGAGCAGGGTTTTACAACAACGGTAACGGGTACACCGCTACATCATGCGTCGGGGTCGATAGCAGGCGGCGGCGGCGGTGGTGGTCTCAGAACATCCGATCTCGAAGATGATGAAGAATATGTTGAACACAGTGATATTGATTGAGGTGTAAATAGAGTTACGTTTCGTAACAATATTGCGCCCATGAAAATGTCTTCAAAAGAGCAACCACAACAACAGCAACAGGAAAATATACAATTAAAACAACAACAAATTAACATGGCAGCTCTAAAGAAATCAAAGTTCTCTAGATCGCTGTCAGTTAGAAATGAAACAAGAATTTTAACAACATCAAATCCTGTGACAATTTCATCAGCCTCCTCCTCATCATCAACAACATCATCAGCAGCAATTGTATGTCCATCGGCATCCTTATCTCTCATCGTTCCCACCCAAAATATCACAGCTAAAGAAATATCAATGGAAACTAAAGATTTTAATGATAACTACAAACAGCAGCCGAACGCACAGCAATTACAAAGGCCGTCGACGCCATCATCGTCTGTGAGTTATATTTCCCACCAACAACAACAACATCTGCAAACAACTGTAAACGATCATAATGGCACAATTGGCCAGGGACGTTATATTGCTGGTGGTACTGCTGCTGCTGCGTTCACACCTTTGGATAGTACCAATAATTTATCAGATGATTCATTTAGTTTATGTTTTATTTCGGCTTTATTAGGTTTGCACTGAACACAAAACAACAAAAAAGGGAGAAGGAGTTTTTTAATTACTTCATATCTTTTAATGTATCAATTTCACCATCTAAAGAATTTATATAAAAATATGTATCTGAAGATATCACGTTGACGTGTATCATAACATTGGGGTTCAGGTTCCCAAAGTAAAGACCTAAAATGGTTTGCCTAAAGCTCCCAAGTTTCTTTTCAAAAGGGATTGAGGCAATCATTGTCATTGTCAGTTTCTCATACAATATTGCCTTTGATGTCAACATCTTCTCAACAACAGCTCCGTAGCTGAAAACGTTGTGGGGTAATGGTTTGGATCTTATTTAGAAACTTTTGTAGGGAAACAGTAGGGAATCAAACAGTTGTCCTCAATCTAAAACAGTAAGGGTTTTCCATAAATTTGATCATCTTTAAAACTTCAGTAGAAAAAAAAAAAATATTGAAAGCAAATTTTCCTACTCCTCTTTCCTTTTTGTTGTTTTGTAGGGATATTTTTTTTACTTTTATTCTAACTTAAAGTCTATTTAACAACACACCAAAATCAGTTTCTTTATTTTCCATAATTATTATTATTATTCGAATATGTTAATTTTGTTGCAATGGCTTAACAAAACAGAACCTGTTTTGTTTTTAAATTATTTATCTATCAATTTTCTCAGTTCAAACAAACAAATGTTTTTACAAAGAAAACAAACCAAGACTTAAAAATAATAAGAGCAAAGAAAGAGAGATGGAAAAATAATATATTTTTCTTAAGGCAATTATTTTTTTTAATAATTTTTAGATATTGTTTTAGGTTTTATTCACTATATATATAAATACAGTTATATATAAACATATTTAATTCTTATTCAAACAAAAAACTCTTGGAACATATAAAATATGTTTGTATGCTTTTTTTGTTCTATTCAATTAACCAATATATTTTTCAAAATAATTCTGAAAAAAACCTCCAGTTATAAAGAAGAATTACAAATTGTAATTACTATTTAATTAACAATTTTTTTTGTGTTAAATAATAAAGTGTGTTTCTAACTTTCTTTTTGTTTTATAGAAAATAAAGCAAATAATGTTAATAATAATAAAATTTATTATTATTACGATAAACAAACAAACAAAGCCTACCTTTTTGAAAAACAAATACTAACAAAACTTTACAAACTCGACACATATATCCTTTCTCTTTTAAAAATAACAAATAAACTCAAAAAACAAAAAAAATCCATTCAAAAAAACATGCAACTAAATTTATACATATATTATAAAAAATGGGATAAAAACAATATTTTTTAAGTCCTTAAATGATTATCATACATGTAACTGATTGCTAATAATATTAATTCTTTTTTCTAGTTGTAAGTCTTAATAAAATCAACAACAACAAAGAAACAAATATTAAATTTAGTTTAGTAAAGAATAAAATCACACACACACACAAAAGAAAATGTAAACCCCCCAACAATTACAAAATGTAGCTGTAAACAACACAAAAGAAAATAACAAAGAATGAAGCGATAAAACTTAGATGGAAATCAAATAATAAAGAAATTAAGCATACAAGGTATCGAGAATGGTTAAAATCAATAACAAAGTAAAAAGTCGGTATATAAATACAAATAAAATGAGAAAAAAATTACAAAAAAATAATAGTTTTGCTTTTACTGGAACGGATTAAGTCAGTGTGGGAGAGGAGGGGTATTTAATTCTCTAAGGGTGTAAGTACACGAGAAGCTTGAAATATTTTGTGACATTTCACAAAGGGATTACAGAGCCGCACTAAAATCCTGCCGTCGTTTTCCATCATAATTTGACATTAATATGCCTAGCCATGACTTCAAGCTTTTTATGTACTTGCACCTTAAGAGATCTATATTTTACATTAAAGCATAATCGGTTGAACAGTTAGATATTATATCCTTCTCATCCGCTGGGGATAGATGTTGAAGCCTGGCCAGAACAGCAATCACCACTATGGGAGACCTTAGCACATATTGCACATTCAATATACATATATGAAATGAAAACGTGGACAATAATTTTACGTCACTGGAATAATTTTAACAGCTCTCGAGTGGCTTAGAAATGACAGCACTCTGAAGTTGGTTGCAGTTTTTTCATCTCACCCTGTACATATAAAGAAATGAAAACGTGGACAAGGGAAGTATAAGGATTAATTTTTATTGCAACAATTCGTTAGGAATTGAGAAGACTTTCCCAAAGTAATAAAATTAGGAAAAAGAACAGAGAATGGAAAGATCGTCTAGTCCAGGGTCTATCAAATGAGACCAGACAAATATGTATGTGTATTAGAACAAGTAAAATAGTATCCGTCGGTTTTGCCGACAGATGTATAACCCCGCCTTTACTTTTGATTATTCAAACTATTGACCTTTTATGGGAAAAGTTGCGAAGCAGTTGGCCAATACTGGAAATTGTGACCCTTTGTGGGTCAGGTACCAGAAGGGTTGGAAGATATATATCATCTTAACAACAGATCTTACGTTAGCGAAAATATTTGGATGTGTGAAATTTGAAGAGAGTTGGATGCTTTGTCGGCTTCTTTGAGCGTTTGAACCCTATGTGGGAGATGTAACAGAAAAATGGTCCAGAAGGAGTGGACCGATGTATCCCAATTTCACACCACACCTTGGGTTAATAAAAATATTGTGATGACTGTAATTTGAAGAGAACCGGATGCTTATTTCGGATATTATTGTTGTTTTGGTTATTCAAAATTTTGAAGGCACCAGAAGGAATGGATCGATCAGATCTTGTGTTGATAGAAATGTTGAGATGCGTCATGTCTGAATGGAATCTGATATTAATTTCGTGTTTTATGAGCTTCATGACTATCCAAAAATTTGACCCTTTGTATGGGAGATACCAGAAAGATGGGATCGATATATTCCATCTTCACACCAAACCATGGCTTAATAAAAATATTGTGATGTGTGTAATTTGAAGACAATAGGACACACACATCGCAGTTTATAAGAGTTATAATTATTAAACATGTTGACCCTTTGTGGTGGAGGTACTTGTTGGAGTGGACCGATATTGTCCGTTCTCGCACCTGACCTAGCACTGATGCAAATATTAGGATTCGCAAAGTTGGAGCAAAATCGGATTATAATTTCTCTTTCTATGTCGTAAAATATTTTTTGTTTTTTTTTTTTTTTTTTTCGAACGTTCCCACGCCTCACATTCCCACCCCTGCCGACCGAGGGGGCGACCTCCCTTTACGGAGGGATCGCGTACACATCATGATCCGCATCATAATGGGAATTCAGTAGGAAATTTAAAACCAGCTACAGAATTTAATTCATCAGCTAGTTTGTCAAATAATAAAACATGTATGTTAATTGTTTAAAAATAAAATTATTCTAGATTTAATAACTTCTAAACTCATACCAAAATCTACATTACAGTACACAGAATTAAAGTCAACACACATTTTACTAAGAGGTTCGCCCATTGAATAATTCGTGCGGTGAAAATCAGTATATAATAATTGGTAGTATCTACTAGATCTAAACGGAACATTAATTCTAATAGATGAAATCAGAAAATCTGATGGTATATTACCATTTAATATTTTTAGTACAAACATGGAGTTCAACATAATACGTCTGCTTTTAAGTGTAGGCAATCTAATTAATTTTAGCCTGCTAGCATAAGAAGGCAAAACAAAATCACTATTCCAATGTAAACCTCGTAAGGCAAATATCAGAAATTGTTTTTGCACGGATTCTATTTTATCTGAGTATATTGCATATTGAGGATCCCATACAACAGAACCGTATTCCAATATAGGTCTAACAAGAGACGTAAATAACTGTTTTGTTATATATGGATCAGAAAATTCTTTGGCCCACCGTTTAACAAAACCTAAAACACCATTTGCTTTATTTACCATTGTTATTACATGGCTATTAAAATTTAATTTTGTATCCATCAAGAGGCCAAGATCAACAAATGAATCTACAGTTGATAATGAATGACCGGCAATATTATATTTTAATATCAGAGAAGAAGATCTGGAGAAGCACATATGTTTACATTTGCTTAAATTTAACTCCATACAATTTAACGTGCACCATTTAAAAAGGCTATCTAAATCGTTTTGAAGTAAACTAGCTCGTTTATCACAATTATGGGAAATGAATAATTTAACATCATCTGCGTACATTAACAATTTCGAGTAATTTATGGAATTAGGTAAATCGTTGATAAATAAAAGAAAGAGGACCGGTCCAAGGTGACTTCCTTGCGGAACACCCGATGGAACGTTAATCGTTTTGGATAGATACCCTTCAAACAAAACTAGTTGTGATCTATTTTGTAAGTAAGATGATATCCATTTGACTAAGTTTGTGTTGAAACCCATATAATTTAATTTATATATTAGGAGTTCATGGTTAACCCTATCATTTTCTTTGCAAGTGTTGGCATTTTGTGGGGGACGACCAGAAGGAGTGAACCGGTATTGCCTATCTCCGAACTCGATCTAAGTTTGACAATAATATTACGATGTACCAAGTTTGGATGAAATCGGATACTCCCTTCTTTCCTCTGATGATGGGGAGGAGTAAAGCCTTAAAATTTGACAAAAGCGAAATTGGCTTATATGATGCACTTTTGCTGGCATTCTTGCCTGGCTTCAGTAGTGGGACCACCCGACCCATTTTCCATGCTTGGGGAACGATAGTGGGTGGCTAGCGACAAGTTGAGAATTTTTGTCAGGCACTTAAGTCACGACGTATTCAGTTGTTTCAACATTACCATTGAGACTCCGTCTGGGCCAAACGCTTTGGAAGGTTAGCGTTTTGGATGACATTTGCAAAATCACCCATCAAAAACTGCGGTGGTGCCTCCTCGGCGGGAAAAGATCTGATACGACGTAATACTCTTCGCTTGACAAATTGTCGATTTAACTATTCAGCGCACCTCCTCCAAACTGACTGAGGTCCGATCATCCCTTATTAAAGGTTTCGGGTCGATTCAAGCGTTACCCACAACTTTCTCTTATCGGTTCCAATGGGGTTGTTTTTAAGGCTCAAATGGATACAATGGTTCCAAAATGTCATTAATATTAACCTATGCACTTTTTCAAATACTGGTCAGAAAAAAATATTTCAAGAGCACACTTTTAGCCGAAAATGTTAGGTTAAAGGATACGTGGTTGTGCAAATATCACTCCACTCTGTGACCTATTGGCCCATTGTGTTCATCCTAATTTAGAGAAGGAGAAGAATAAATAATAAAAGGGAAGGAAACGGTTAGTAAAGAAGAAGCGTGAATTTGAAGATAGGAATAGAGAAGATAGTAGGTTTGTTTCCACGGTGTAATCAGCATGTCGTCCTTAGCCATTTGAGTCTTCCAGCTAATTGAAGAATCTGTCTCGCTCGGATAAGAGTTGGGCAGTGGTAGATTCCTCCTCGCCCTGACATAGCTTGCAGTATTCAGTATCGTAACCTCCTCCCACTTGGAAGTCATGGCTCTTATGTTGCAGTGTCCTGTAATTAAAAAAAGCTTCAATTCCGACTTTGTCATGGATATGAGTGACCTTGATCACCTCTCGGAGTTTGCCGGCCAAATTTTTTTGAAGACATTACATCCCCTTCCATTTAGCTAGTTCTGTTGAAATCTACCAAGATAATATTTATGCAGTATTTGGAAGAAGTGGCATAAAGGTGGCTTCAATGAGCTCTCAATCTCTAGATCTACTGACTCAGATCCGTGTCTGGGCAATTCATCAGTCGATTCATTGCCAGATATGTTGCAGTGTTCAGGCAGCCAACAGAATTTGACAAACGACTTAACCTTTTCCAGAGCATTCCTGCAATCCAGAACTGCCATAGATTTGATTGTACAAGCCGAAAATGATATTAGTTTATTCCATTTCAAGGGCACAGAGGTGAAAGCTCAGCATGCTGGTTAAAGCTATCTGTTCAAATCCTATGTATCTATATTTCGCTTTTACGATCTGAAATTGAACACAGATTCCAAATTCCAGATTGCACGCCATCTACATTTCAAATTGAAATACATTTTTTATTGACTTGAATAACTCTTTAATGGAACCCAACATAATTGGTAGATTAAATATTCCAATAAGAATGCTGGAATGTTAACAGTAAAAGTGTATAATGCCTACTAGACCTTAAAATTTTCATTAATATTATCTACAAAATGTATATAAGAACTCCCAAAAATTTTTAACTGCAGAATACATTAAAAAATTTTAATATATCATCCATCTGGAGAAAACTTGTAGGCCTATTTAATTTTGTCCTTATGAAATTTTGAAAAAGTAGTACCACAACAGAAACATTTTTTCATTTTGTAGTAATTATAATTATTTAAATACTAGCTGGCCCGGTCCGCGTTGCCGGCCCGTAGTTTTTGTCTATTATGCATATATTCCCAAGCATAATTATTCACAGATATGACTGATATAAGTGTTCACGTACAGGTCGATTTAGTGTTTTAAAATACCTGTACCCATTTTTAACCAGTGGGCTTCAATATTTAAACCGTGAGCTTCAACTGTGTGGATGTGCTATACAAATCTATTAAAAAGTATATATCAATCTTATCGCCATATAAGGGATCAAATTAATTTTTAATATGGTAAAAATCGTAGCAAAATCTTCCAGTCAAATGAGCAGTAATTTGGAATTTGCTGTATTTTGTATACTACATAATTGAGGGCTGAATGATTTAAGAATAGCCAAAGTTAATTACTTTTTTAAACCCATTAGCAACTTAGATTGTGCATTAGAGTCCTCATAAGTCCCCCTAACCATGTCAGTCTGTTTGTCCGCCAAAAGGTGGACTTGAGAGGGTATTATAACATGGATAAAAATTCTAAAATTTGTAGATATGTTGAAATTTTAGTGTAAGATTTTCACCCCCCTAATACGCATTATTAGCCAAATTCTTTGAAATGTGGTTAAATTAGGAGGTACCTTCTTTATATGGGCACTACTCCGAAACATCGACCTACATTGAAAACTTTCTTCTACCCCTTATAATCCAAGATGACAAATAGAGGCCAAATCAAAAATATAGCAGAACAATATAGCATGTCATAGCATTTCGCGTGATTTAAATAAGTAAAAATAGTTTTATCCACCTCATAATTGAGGGCAGAATGATAAGATGGGAATTAATTTTATTTGCCATTTAAATTGTAAGTTGGAGACCTCTTAAAGTCCATATTTTCATCATAGGATAATTCAATGATGATTAAACAAATATTCGGTCCCGTGCTACTTTCTGATATTTGTAATTTATTCATGTTTCCACAATTTATTTCATATGGATGCACATCCCAAATCTACGTTCCCAACCAATATTCTCTTGGGGGTTAAAAATTCAATAGAATACAAAATTTTTTTTTCTGACCACACATTAGATGTGAAAGTGGACTTGGGGATACTCCAATGTGGGGACTTTACTTTACAGGGTGGCATAAATACAATTTTTTAGCCAAATCAATTGATGAATGTGGTCAATACCAATATGGGCCCTACTCTGAAAATTTCAAATTTTATGCGAAGAGGTTATCTACCCCCTTAGAAACAAAAATGTCAAATAAGGGCCAAAAAATGAAAAAAGTGGCCGGCCAAGACCCCAAAAATAACTTAAATCATAGATGGTTATATAAATATGAAATCGGGTTGTTCCCTTATCCATGAGTTATGATCGATATAAAGACCTGCAAAAGTGATTTTAGGTATTTTGAATGTTTGGGAAGAATTTCTGGAAGGATATAAAACCTTTTCTTACTAAAAGTCCCATTCGCTCTACTATTTTGCACCTTTTATTTCAATATTGGTATATTACTTATTATTCTCCCAAAGAATTTTGCATTTTGAGCTCTCATTGGACGGATCATTGTCACGCTTTGAAATGAGCCCCATTAAGCTTTTTCGGTCATTTTTGTTTGTTTAAACGTGTTCGCATCTTCCAGCTAACCCACGATGTAGGCCCTGGAGTTGAAAGGTAGATGTCAGTTAACATCCTATTTCGCACTTATTCAATTTTTTTAGTGAAAAATTATTCTTTATTTTGTTCACAAAAAAAAATTGACAAAAAAAAAGAATAACAAATTGAAAAAGTCTTCAACTTTTTCGCTGATTTTTTACAGCAAATGTTTTAAGATCCTTCCTTACAAAGTTTGTCAATAGAATGTACTATTACTTTAAAATTCGATTCCATTGAAAATGTTTTTTTGGTTTTTGCAATGAGATCTCTTTTTCATGATTTTTCAGCGATTTAGAAAAAGTAATTATCTTTTAACTTTGGTGTGACCGCGTTAAATTATTTCGATATCATCTATTCCGTTTCGCCACCACATAATTCGCTACTACACTTCCATGTAACCCGCCATCAATTTCAGTTCTCAAGAAATCAAGTCAATTAAATAAATTGGTATAAATATTCGAATTCAAAAATAAAATATAAAAAAACACTACAAATGTACATTAGAAAAAAGTAAGTCAAAATGGAAAAAAAAATCATGCAAAATAAAACATTACTATTGTACATTTGAAAAGTCAAAATGAAAATGTTAATATATCACATTTTTACGCGATTTTTCTGGATATTATCCTTTTCGGAGAGTAGACAACTCCGAATTTGTGTGAATCGTTAAAATTAATCCAGCGGTTCTTAAGTTATAAGCGTAGTAACTAACACAACTTACATTTATATATATAGATTTATTAAATTTTATCGAGGTATAATTAAATCTTCCTTATATTGATTTCGCCGCCCTTAATTTCCCTTTATCTTACGCATACAATATTAAAAAATATATAAAAAAAAGCTTAAACAAAGATAATACAAACATAACTTATATCCAACTAAGGCATATTATGTGTACATTGAAGATGACATCAATCTCTTACGTTTCTCTTAAAGTCTACTTCAGTACCGACATATACATATACATAGTAAAACAATAACAAAAAATTAAGGTTTGCAAAAATAATAACGAATTCTTCTAATATTTACGCTATGATCTATATAAGGTCTGTATCGATTAGAATGTATTTGTGTATTAAAACCTTTTCGTTTTTTAATTATGTTTAAAATCCATTTTGCAAGGCTACATCAGCTGTTTGTGGAGGACCTATTGGTTGGGGAGCAATTTCAAAATCGAAATCATCAACTACGGTTGCTGCAGAATCATTGACAGGCGGCGATGGGAAGGCATTGGGTGACAGATTCATTAATTGTGGCTGCTGAGCTTCAAAATTACTATGACTTAATTGTTGAATTGGCATTTGTTGAGGTGCTTGTTGGGGTTGTATGTCTAGTGCTGGTTTTATAAGTTGTTCCTGTCTCATTTGTTGTGGGGATTTGACATAATTTATCGGTATGATGCCAGCATTTTGTCCATCTGTTGTAGCCATTGCCCAACCGGTATTAAGCAGACCCAATGTATTTTGTATTTCTTTTGGAGCAATTATGACACGTTGTCCACTTGATATACTTATTTCTGATGAATTTCTAGCTTGGAAATCGTATAGAGCTACAGATTCAATTGATTGTATCCATTTGTTGGGATTTCGAGCTGTAACGAAAAAAAAACATAAATGCATTAATATAGTTTATAAAAGATTTTAAACATAAATAAAATATTAGCACGGGATGCTTTAATTTCTTAAAAATAACTACATTCTTCCTGATAAACTCTCTCAAGTATCTCATATCATGTTTCAGCTTCATATCTTTGATGCTAATATTTATTTACTCAACATATTTTCACTTGTATTGCCCACAGTATCTACACGATTAGTTTTCATACAAAGTTCATGACTAGAATTTTTATATGAGAGCATTGTTTTGATAGAAACAAAATATTAGAATGTTTTGCATCATATTTCACACGAATACACACACCTTGCGCGAGCTACATTCATTATCTAATCTTTTAATCTCTGTTAAAACTCATATAGAGGCATCACTGATAAGTTAAAAACCAAAAGGTTACGCCGCAATGAAAGTACATACCTTCTTCCTGTGCTGTCTGAGATACGGTTCCTAGCAACTTCATGATTAAATATGGTGCGGTAAAAATGAAACTTAAGAATGCCACCACTGGCCAGGGGGATTGCCCTTTACGTGGCAATTTGGGAGCACCTTGTTGGGTTGATGTTTCATTTAATGCCTCGGCAAAGGCTTTCTTAAAGGATTCCGAGGAGGGATCAATATTAGAAATACGTAGCCAATAGAGAAGCCTATAAAGAGAGAGGAGAAATGCATTTTGAAAATATTTTACCACAGTAACAAGAATACTTACTTTCTGTACAGCCATGTTATGCCACGGAATAAGGCAAATGTATGCCAGAACTGTGAGAAAACTCCACGCAATCGACCAAAGTTGGCAGCTACACCCAGTATAGCCCGAAAACTGCTGGTCAAAGCAAAAAATGTTGAATCCAACATGGAAGCAATATTTCCAATTGCCATAACCAAAGATTCAATGCTTTGGAATGCTGGTCTTGAACTGGCCTCAGCCAGTTGTATAAAGCGGGCTTCAGGATCCATTGGATTCATGCCACCGCCGAAACGGCTAAAACCACTATAACCTCCACCAAATCCACCGTAGCCTCCATATCCGCTGCCGTAACTTCCATAACCTCCATAGCCACCCATACCTCCGAAACTACTTCCAAAGCCATAACCTCCAGCGCCATATCCACCTGTTCCATAACCACCGTAGGCCGAAGTACCATAACCACCTGCCCCGAATGCTGATGGTGCCACAGGTAGTGGAGGTGCCGCCAATGATCTTACATTGCCAGCTGGTGTCCTCAGGGTTAGATTACCACTGTTGGTCATGCTATTGCCACCAACTCCTCCCAGACCTGCGGGGGGTACTAAATTCGATTCCGATATTACGGGACTTCGAAAATTACTAGTTGTACCAGCACTTTCACTCATATCGGCAGGTCGTTGTCGTGCGTTCGTTATTTCGACTGATTTAAGTATTAATGAAATAGTATGAACTTTGTTCGGGATCGGGAGCAGTTACTAGCGGACGGGGGGTATCTATTTGTTATTCGATTGATAAAGTGTTGACAAGTTCTTCTGTTGACGAGAGAAAAAACTTTCAGTATTGAAAAACAATGAAGCAATGTGAAATGTAACGCGATAAACAAATTAGCGATATTGAAACAATAGTAAAATTATTACCAATTATAATTATTTAAATTTTTTAATTTTAATAAACTAAGTCTCTTTATTGCGTCTTCTTCTTTTCGATGGTACATTTAAATATAAAGTGAACGATTAACATGAATTGAGACTGTTAGAACTATTGTTGTCTTTTTCTAACTTACAATGAAAGTGTATAATATGCTAAATGCGAACTGTTGAAATGAAGTATATAATGCAAGACACACGTTACAACTGGTTGTACAACTGGGAGAGGTTGTATTCAAGCATGGCAGAAGAATACAGGTAGATGCATCAACGCTTGGGAGCATTGATATGTCAAAAAAATGTAAATGTTTTTTTCAAATATAAGTAGATTTTTATATATTTTCTGATACTACGTCATTCGGAAGCTACTATATTTCGCGTTTTTTCAAAAAATTTTACAAATTTAAATAATTTTTCATTTAACATTTTCAATTCCAAAATTGGTTTGACAGTTGATTGTCCCAGCAGCTGTCTCGACGCGTCTACCTGTATTCTTCTACCATGTATTCAAGATTGTATCGTTTGTGTCTCGGTTGTATGAAAAATCAAAATTTTTTGATATTTGGCATGTTGTACCAACCGATTGTAATGTTAGTGGGCATGTCGCATACAATTTCATTTTGTTTTTATTTTTGAAAATCCAATCAAATGTGTGATTTTAATGTATATATAAAAAGGAAATTGAATTTATAAATTGGAATTTCAAAAATTAATTATAAATAAAAGCTATGGATTCAATTATAGAGCATGAATTTTTTCCGGTGCCATCTTTACTCAAATAAGCTCTACGAAAAGTGAAGTTGTTTTAGCTACATGAATTTGGCCGAGCAGAAATGTGCATGTTGTAAATTTGACATTTAATTGGCAGGGCTAACATGGTTGAAAAAATTTTTGACACATTTCAATGTTCCCGCATTCAAAACTTCTAGCTCAAATTTAAATCACCGAAAGGAGAAGAAGAAAAGTTGCAAGTGATTGTAACACTGCCTTTACACGGTGACATTTTTTAACCATGCCATTTTTTTTTGTTGGTAAAAGGTGTAGAGAAACAAGGATAGAAGAAAAAATGGCACGATAAGCCACCGCACAGGGTTACATGCCATTTTCTTTGCATTTCTCTTTTTGCTTCTTCCGAATTTTTTATGATTTTGACATTTCATATCGTTTCTTTATTGTAATTTTTGATGCGTTTCTTTTATTGTGATGTGATGTGTTTAGTTATTGAATTGTATAGAGAATTATATGAAAATTAATTGGAAGTTTTAAAAAGTAAAAAAGAAAGTTAATAATTTTAATAAATGTGTGGACCAGATCGACAATAACTTTTTCCATAATTTCTTCTTTAGACTAACACATTTAATTTTAAATCACTTCTTTATAAATATCTGTTACAAACAACAATACAGCTCTATACGAAATACTGAATAAAATAAAATGTCAGAAAAAATGCCAAGCACTAATATCATAAAATGCCACCGTGTAAAGGCGCGAAGATTTACGCAAAATTTTTAAAATAGAATTGATAAAAATGCCATGTAAAAATGGCACCGTGCAATTTTTAGGTGGCATTTTTATCAATTCTCTTTTAAAATTTCTGCGTAAATCTTCGCGCCTTTACACGGTGGCATTTTACGATAATAGTGCTTGGCATTTTTTCTGACATTTTATTTCATTCAGTATTTCGTATAGAGCTAATTGTTTGTAACAGATATTTATAAAAAAGTGATTTAAAATTAAATGTGTGAATCTAAAGAAGAAATGATGGAAAAAGTTATTGATGTGTTATATATTGCATTATTAACTTTTATTTTAACTTTCTTTTTTTACCTTTTAATACTTCCTATTAATTTTCATATAATTCACTATACAATTCAATCACGAAAAACATCACATCACAATAAAAGAAACGCATCAAAAATTACAATAAAGAAACGATATGAAATGTCAAAATCATAAAAAATTCGGAAGAAGCCAAAAAGATAAATACAAAGAAAATGGCATGTAACCCTGTGCGGTGGCTTATCGTGCCATTTTTTCTTCTATCCTTGTCTCTCTACACCTTTTACCAACAAAAAAAAAAAAAAAATGGCATGGTTAAAAAATGTCACCGTGTATAGACAGTGCAAGTTAAAATTGGTCCAACAAGAACTTACAAACTCTCATTAAGAGAACTGTCAAAATATCTCTCACGAACCGCTCTCTTTTGTACCAACAGACGACTTCCAGTAAATTTGTAACAATTGTTGCAAATTTTAGGTTAACCAGACACACTTAATATGCTACATGTGATCTTTGAAATCATAAAACCATGGTAGAATTAAGATTTTTGCGCACTTCTTTAAAAACTACCAATAACTCCGTACAGTTTGGTGCGATTTATTTGCTGATGGCATCATTGGACCATATTTTCTCAAAAATGCTGTGCCTCCATTTGGGTCGACATTTGCATGAAATAATATTCAAACATTTAAATATATTTACTGTACCGTCAATTTAAATAAAGATTTCATGCATTTTTCAGAATTTTATGTTTTTTTAACTTTATTCTATAGTTCTTAAACATACGGTGCACAGATTTGGCTTACGTTGAGTTTAGGGGCTATGTTTGCATTGACCTGACATTTTTACCACATTTAGATCTCTTTAACCTGATTACGGCAAAACATTTTTTGTGAGAGAAATACCCGGTTACCCGTTAATTCGACCCGGAAGTTCGGATACAAAGTCCGAGTTTTATCCGGTTCGAGTTTTTAGGGTTTTTTTTCAAAAAGAACTGGTATAAAAATACCAATTTTCTTGCACTACTCTTGAACCGGCTCCAAAAATCTTATGATATGACAACTTGTTGGATAGGCAATCCCATAAGCTTTCAAATAATACCCATTTTAGATATCAGTTTTGTAGAACCAGATGTTGTATTCGAACTTTCGGGTCATATAGCCGGGTAACCGGGTATATCCCCTAAGAAAAAATTAATTTTCCTTATTCAGGTTAAAAATACCCACCTGCGGCAAAACTTTAAAAATGATCCGAGCATAGCCCGTAAACTCAACTTGCTCCATTTTACTACGCATCTACTTTTTTGGTGAGGCAAATGCTTTTCATTGCACCCAGTTCTAAAATTGATTATAGAAAGAAGAAGTAGAAGAGTAAGGCTTACCACATATTATATTCAGGTGACAAGGATTGCAATTGTTTGGTCACTGAACTGGACAACATTTCCGTTGGTGAAATGCTTGGGGATACATTTATAACCTTTTTGGAAAGCAATGGAACTTTTGTCTTTAATTACAGTCATGGTAGAAGAATACATGTAGATACATCAACGCTTGGGAACATTGTCATAAATGTTTGAATGTTTTCTCAAAAATAAGTAGATTTTAAATACTTTCTCATACGATGCAACCATTTTTACAAATTTCAATAGTTTTTAATTCAACATTTTCAATCCCAAAATCAGTTTGACGCTTCATTGTCCCAGCAGCTGTGTCGATGCGATTACATGCAGCGATGCCAACTTAGTGCTTTTCGCGCTATTTATGGTGCTTTTTAGACCCCCCTAAACGCCAAAATAGTGGCATAGCGCGGAACGGAAAAAAGCACTATACGTACGCTTTTCATCTTTTCTGTTGGTGCTTTTAGCGGTTTTTAGATTTTAAAATGTGACAATGTTTATTCATTCGAATATTTTGATAGTATGGCACACTTCATAGATGGCACATTTTTCCAATGGAATTCTCTGAAATTCTACACAAGGAGTTCTTTGTGAGTATTTTACACCCTGAAATAGAATTGTCCATATAGGTTCACAATATCGTATATCTTCCATCGACATCTTCCGTTATTGGGTATTTTTAAGATTTTAACGTAATTTTTAATGGATTTTAATTTTTTGTAAATGTCCTAATTCGTTCCAATTCGGGCGGGCCGAACTTTTAATACCCTCCACCTTAGGGTAATGAAAACATTAGAACCAATTATGACCCACAAATACCAATTTTTAGACACATTCATGGGAAAATGTGGCAAAAATCATCAAAATACCAAATATCGGGAGGGCTATGCAAAAACTTTTGTAGTAGAAGTTTTATTAGGAATGAAAAACTTGAGTATGTACAACATGAATTGTAATATAATAGTAAATCAAAGACTACTATAGATAAAACAGAAACTTGGTTATATAAAGTAGTATAACATTTCTTAACACATCAACACTTTCCCTTGTTAAGAGATGTTAGACTGTTTGTTGTAATCCAATATGATCGCAAAGAAGTTTAAGTCTTGTGGGTTGCAAAGGTTTTGTCATCAAATCAGCTAATTGATCTTGCGTAGGTATTTGTATTACTTGAAGCTCATTTTCAGAAATTTTTTTCTCTAATAAAGAAATGCTTATTGTTGATATGCTTTGTGCGTTTGTGATATTCAGGATTTTGTGCCAAACGTACTGCAGCAGAATTATCAACATATAACAATGGAGTGGAATTTAATTCTATCAATTCAGAATATAAACGTTTTAGCCAAATTACTTCTTTTGTTGCTTCAGAAGCTGCAACAATTTCTGCTTCTGTTGTAGATGTTGCTACCATAGCTTGTCTCTGGCTTAACCATGATACAACCCCTCCCGCAAATTTTACAACAACACCAGATGTAGATCTTCCGGTTTTCAAACATCCTCCAAAATCTGCATCACTGTAGCATTCTAGCTCTTGAGCATGTTCGTTGTTGTAAAATATTCCATAATTAATTGTTCCAGATATGTAACGAAAAACTCTTTTAACTCGGGTAATATCTTCGTTGGATGGATTTTCTAATGTTCTTGAAAGGAATCCAATGCTATAAGCTAAGTCAGGCCTTGTTCCCAACATAAGATACATAATGGCTCCTACGGCTTGTCTGTATGGAAATTGAGAACACTTCACATTGTCTTTCCCCGATTCGAAATTTTCTCCTTTCAGCATAGGCGATGAAACTGGCCTGCAATCAGTAAACCTAAATCTTCCCAGAATTCTTTTTGCGTATGCTTCCTGACTGATTGATATTCCACTTTCATTTGCCTTTATTTCCAGACCCAAAAAATAACTTGCATCTTTTGTGGTTATTTTGAATTCTCTTCTCAACTCTTCCAAAAATGTTTCCAGCTCGCCGGGGTCTGTGGCAGCTACTAGACCATCATCTACATAAAGAGCTAGTATTAATTTATTCCCTTCTTGATTTCGTATGTATATACAGGGATCGGCGTCACTTGCTATAAAACCGATTTTTAATAAATATTTTCCAAATCTTCGGTTCCAACACCGCGGAGCTTGCTTTAATCCATATAGACTCTTTTTAAGCTTACAAACTCTTCCTGTGCCGTCATCAAAACCATCTGGTTGTTTCATAAAAATAGTTTCTTCAAGGTGGCCATAAAGAAAAGCAGTGGATACATCAAATTGAGATAGATGCATCTTTTCACTTGCAGCTATACTTATTATAGCTCGTATCGCTGCCAACCTTGCAACTGGACTGAAGGTTTCATTGTAGTCTACACCTTTGCATTGTTTGTATCCTTTTATAACTAATCTTGCTTTGTATTTGTCTGTACTTCCATCAGAGTTAGTTTTTATCTTATAAACCCACTTTGATGGGAGTACCTTATTTCCTTTTGGAAGTTGAATCAAATCCCACGTGTTGTTTTCTCTGAGGGAATTCATTTCTGACTTCATTGCCTTTATCCAATGATATTTTTCTGTACTTTCGACAGCATCAATAAAACTGGTAGGTGTTTGTACTTCACACATAAAATCTTGAGCAGCCATAACATAGTCATCATACTTCGAGTTATGTAGCGTTGATCGATCTCTTAAACGATTTCTAATTGTATTTTCTATCGTATCAAATCCACGGAAATCACTCTCATTGGATACATTTTCTTCCGAACATTCTTCAAACATCTCATCTTCCCAATCTGAATCACAACGAATCTCTTGAATATATCTTGGTGTACTGGGCTGAATATGATCTTCTTCTAACACTTCTTCTTTAGATCTCTCATATGATTTAAATGGCAATTTTATTTCTTCAGCTCTCTTATTTGAAAACTCTTCATTCATCTCTTGCTTTTGATCGTCACATTTTGAAATTTGTTCATTAAATGTCACATCTCTTGACAAAATTACACTCTGATTTTCTTTGATGTAAATTCTATAACGCTCTTCAGTATCATATCCAATTAAATGTCCCTTGATTGCCTTTGAATCCATCTTTTTCCTCTTCTGACTTGGAACATGGACATAGCATTCACTTCCAACTATTCTCAAATGAGTAATTCTGGGTTTTCTTCCAAACCAAAGTTCATGTGGACTTTTGTCATCAACTGGTGTCTTGCGAGTACGATTTAAAATATATATGGCGGTACGAACTAACTCAGCCCAAATAGCTTCAGGAAATTGGACATTCTTATTCGAGTACTTAAAAGTACGGGCCATCTCAATTACAGTTCTATTTTCCCTCTCGCTTGCACCATTCTGTTGCGGAGTGTAGGGAGCAGTTAGTCTCTGTGTAACTCCATATTTCTTTAGAATTTGCTTTACTTCATTATTATCGAATTCGCCACCATTATCGCTCAAAAATTCTTTTATTGGATTTCCTTGATTTTCTGAAAAAGCTAGAACTTCCTTCAATACAGTTTTAACTTCGGATTTTTCCTTCAAGAAATATCCAAAACAATATTTACTGTATGCATCTTTAAATATGACCAAATACTTCCTTTTGCTGAAAGACATATGGAATGGGCCACATACGTCAGCTGACATTAATTCGCCTGGTTTTTTAGAAACCTCTCTAGTACCAAAAGGTAATCGATGTGACTTTCCATAAATACAGGATTCACAAATTTGCATATCAAGTTTTACATTAATACCAAATTCCTCCCTTAGTTTCTTCTGTACATGGCGTTTATTCTGGTGTCCCCAACGTTCATGATATAGTTGCAATGTGTTATCAGATTCCGTTAAATTTACTTCATTTGTTGAATTTGAGATGACTGTTTCAATATCCGCTAGATACAATGTGCCTCCTTTTTCCCGATGACCAACTAATATCACCTTATTATTGACCCAAAGTTCACACTCAGTTGCTGTTGACTTAAATTCACTGTTTGAACACTTGTCTTGTGCAGATAAAACAGAAAATAAGTTCCTTGACACTCTTGGAACGTACCAAACATCTGTTAGTGTGATTTGGATTACCTTGTTGTTGACATAAGACTTGATATCAACTGTACCTTTCCCAATTACATCTAACATTTCACCACCGGCCGCTTTAATCTTGCAACATTCCTTGAACTTCTCGAAAGATTTAAATACATTTCTATTATTTGCCACGTGTCGTGTAGCGCCATTATCAATCCACCAATTCTTTGAAATATCCTCCTTAATTGTGTTAATCTCTTCATACATTAAAGGTAAAATCTGGTGTTGAGGAGTTATTGCTTCAGCCTTCTTTTCTTTTATAGGCTTACCATCACTTATCCATTTTCTGCAATCTCGTATCCAATGACCTTTCTTATGACAATAATTGCATGCACCATTTTTCTTGCTTGTTTTTGTATTATTGGTTTGTGGGAATTTTTTCTTGACATTATTAAGCATTAAAGCTTCTTCGTCCTTAACATCAGCACCTTTGCAATTTCTTTGATACATACAGAGTTGTGCGGTCATTTCCTCAAAATTCTTCTCTTCGTTTTTTGTTAAAAGCATCCAACTTGACTTAAAAGTATCAAAATGACTTGGTAAAATTTGAAGGATTTTGCAAACTAATAAAACTTCTGGGAGCTCATTTTCCTTACGTCCTTTCAATCCGTTATTGAGTTCTATCCACAAACTTTTGAGTTTTGCAATATGTAAGCTCACGTCTTCACTTAAATTCCATGTAAATGAGAAGAAGTCAATACATATTTTGAATAATTGATCCTTCGATCTAGCCTCAAATTGAACCATTAGCGATTCCCAAGCCTCAGCAGCAGTTTCTTTATCCATTATCTTTTGATACACATTGTCACTTACTGCGCTTGCTATCATGGATTTTGCATAACTGTTTGCTTTTCTATACAAGTCCGACTTTTCCTTGTACAGCTTCTTTTGTTCACTCGTGGCATCAGAGGATGGTGGATTTGGATTCTTTAGTTTACCTTCAATAACGTCAATTGCTCCTTCGTGATAGTCTAATAAATCACGCATCTTCCGTTTCCATATTGGATAGTCCGTTTCGTTTTCCAAAGGCTTGATGTGCTTAGCAAAATCCATTTCTTCTTTCTTTTTTTTTTTTTTTTTATAAGTTATTAGTTATTGTAATTTTTGAAGTTCTATATTTTTATAATTTTTATTTTTCTCAGAGACTCCTGGGCTCATAACCTTTTGTAGTAGAAGTTTTATTAGGAATGAAAAACTTGAGTATGTACAACATGAATTGTAATATAATAGTAAATCAAAGACTACTATAGATAAAACAGAAACTTGGTTATATAAAGTAGTATAACATTTCTTAACACATCAACAAAAACGAGGACCAATACATACAATGTTTCGCTAACGGAGCTAGAACTCATTATGGAGGAGGAAATACCAAAGCGTGGACCTATAAATGCAATGTTTCGCCATACGAACGAGGACCCACTATGACCTACAAATACCAATTTTCAGACAAATTCCTGAAAAAAATGTGGCAAAAATCATCAAAATACAGAATATCGGGAGGTACCGTTATATAGGGGTTTAAAGCAAAACGTGGACCGATATATCTCATATTCATTACCAACCATCCTAGACACAATACAAATTATTCTGCTAAATTTTGACGCTCTACGTCAAATAAATAATGGACAGAGAGACAGACGGGCAGACAGACAGACAGACGGACATCGTTAAATCGGCTAAGAATTTAATGCTGATTATGAATATATACACATTATGGTGTCTACGACGAATATTTAGGGATGTTATAAAAGGAATAACAAAGTTAATATACACTCCTTTCCAAGGTGGAGGGTATAAAAAAGTGTTTTATTGACAATTTTGGTATTTTTGTTAGAAAAAAATACATAGCGCTTTTTACGCTTTTTAAGGGAAAGTTTTTACGCCATTTACGCTTTTCTGGTTTTTTAATTACGCTTCTAGCTCTCAAAATGTTGGCAACACTGATTACATGTATTCTTCTAACATAATTAATACACTTGTTTTTGCTTACATCTTGCCAGGGATATCAATCACTTTTAAGAAATCAAGAAGAAGAATTCAGCATGCCATTGTGAATAATTATTGTTGTTGACAAACAAAAATCATATGATTCATTGTGTCTCAATCTGTAAAACTTTGTCGGCTGTTCTGTTTTGATTCTGCAACTTTATTTCTTTCTCTCTCATACATTATTTTTCGTAAAGAGATGCCGGAGATGCCATATCGTCCAGCGTAAAAAAGATAAATATAAACAAAGCAACCATAAGGATAGGAAGGATTATTTCATTGGCTGTAAAAAAGTCTCAGGAAAAATCAAATCTCAACAGAATTCCTGCGAAGGAAATGAATTCGAAAGAGCTCTATGCCATACGGGAATGGGCACCGTTGACGGATGTGTTCGATCGCATACCGACTCGCATCAGTCGTGGTCTGTTTCCGGCGAATTTAAATATCACCTGCATCGATGCTATTGAGGAGTTTATAGCATTGGGAAGCGATGCCGGCATAGTATTTTGGTATAATCGCTATTCGGGACAGATACAAAAACTAAAATCGGAGGTAATTTAGTAAAATATGATGGGTGTATTGCACTTTAAGGAGCGCCTTGATAATGTCTTGCTTTCCTTATGACTCACAGCTGTTGGATTCGTGTTGAGGGTGTTTTTTAATGTTTTATTACTTTTTTATTTGTAGAATACCTCACGCATAACATGCGTGAAAATTGTCAATTCAGTGGAGTATATGGTTGCTGCAGGAAATAGCACCGGACAGGTGAGTGTATTTCAGATACAGAAGGAGCTACCGGCCGATTTGAATTTGGTGGCACCGTGCACCAAAGCCAAGCCAATTGAACGATATACCATAAGGGATCTGCACCAAAGTCCCATAAGCTGTTGTGAGTGGTCCAAGAATGGCATGAAGTTATATTCGGGAGATCGTAATGGTGTGGTGGTGTTGACTGAATTGGATTACCAATCGGTAGGCAAAAATGTTGTTTAGATGGAAACTTTTTTCATCACTTGCATACACTTCCCTTAGCATATTAGCAAATCTGTGGAGATCTTAAGCGAAGCCTATGAAATTGTGCAACTAAGTGTTCATCAAGGTTACCTCTTGGTATCCACACTATACCGGTCCATTATTTGTTCCAAGGACGATGCGGGCAATTGGATTGTAAAACAGATTGGTAAAAAAGATCGCAAACAACTGGTCGATTGTGGTGGCACATTCTTCAAAAAGTCGTCGAGTAAGAAACCCAGACTGATATGTGGTCGTCCCAATTTACGTTTTTGGTTGGCCGACGTAGAGGGCAATGTGGAGAAGACATTACTGTTTCGCGAAGCTGTTGCATTGAGCCCCACCTGGGAGATACCAATACTAAACCCTAAATGTTCAATGATGATGAACAAATCCATAATAAGCTCTCACCCAGCGGATGCAGATGCCACTGCCATAGGTGATTCAAAGAATTTCGGTAATATCTATTGTTATGCCGGCCAGGATTCGTTGATTGTCACACATGATGAGCGTACATTGTATATTTTAAATTTGGATCGACTAAAAGTGGAAGCAGTGGCCAGAGGATTTCGCAAAATCATTGATTTTTGCGTGTGCAATAAGGAAATATTTGTTTTGGAGGGAGAGAGGTCCCTTTTGCGTTTGGCGCCAATGCCTGAAAAGCCAAATAAAATAGGTAGGTGGTCAAGATAAGTGGAAAGTGGAAAGAAATGATTAATTGCTGTTATTTTTAAGCCAAAATTATCTACAATCCTATTTTGCCACCGCCTGTACCCATAATGGGCTCCTCAATATGTGGCACATTTGAGGCACCCGTGGAATATGAACCCGAAGATCAGCCAATTATCAATGCGGAAGAATGTTTCGAATTGCCACCCATCGAAACTTTAAATCTAAACATACCCATAGAACTAGCTGTAGAATCCTCCAAGGCTGAACAAAATCGTCGCCTGGAAGTTTTTAAGGAAATTTCCGAAATGGATTTCGACGAAGATATACTGCATCATAGTGGCATTTCAGTCAAGAGTAGTGCAAACCATAAAAAGCGTCGCAAGAGCCGTGAGGGGGAGAGGAAAAAAGTAACAGATGGCATTGTAGAAATTGGTCATATTGTGGAGGCCGAACATGGTAAAGCTATGGAATACACAGCCGAGGCCACACAAATGGAAGCCAGCTATTGTAATGGCAACAATGGTAATGGTGAAAGGTATGTTTCATTTTCTTCCTTGGATTTTTGTAGTGGTAATACATTTTTAATTTTTTCGCCTTGTAGTGAACCTATGAGCTTGCATTTGAAGGAAGCATTTAGTCAACATTTTCCAAACGTTCTCAGTCCAACAACCTTGAAAGAAACCATTGCCGAAAAAGCAAAAACCTTGGCTGAAGAATTGAATTTACCTGAAGTTAAACTTGAACCCATTACCGATGAAGAGTTACGTATATCCAAGTATCTGGCACAACCACCGGCACCCCAGCCACCACTTTCTTCGCCCTTGGAAACGGTCTATCCCACAGAAGGCCTATTCAAAGATTCGAGTATGCAAACTACTCCCCACAAAAAGATCTATTACATTGAAGAACAATCTATGGCAGATTTTAATGATGGCCAACCAATAGAAGATGTCTGTCACACCTTGAGGGCCACCAATTTAATAGAGGGTAATGATAACGATGAGAGAGATCATGACTCCAACCCAAGTAACTCGAAACCATTGGCATTTGTCAGTGCACACTTAGCTGAAACCGAAGAAATAGATAGTTTTCTTTTGGATTTCAATAAGGTCAAGGATCCATTGGCACCAACGATTGGTGGTCATTCTGCTGGCACAAAATCGGAAAACGAATCATCGAATGGTTCCTCAAGTGAATGGGAATTTCTGGATAACTAAAAAAAAAACAAATCCGGAATTTCCATCTGATATTACACAATGTTTTTGTTTTTCGTGATAATCTCACTATCATAAGAGTATTATAATTTAAGAATTTATGTTTTTATTGACATAAGTCGGCGATTTGTATACCCATGGCAAGACCCTGTGAAGAGTTTGTGATACAGAATGCTGTTATGCTCTGGAAACCGTAAGTCAACCCGTACTCCATTATATTCCCAGTGAAATTGGAGAGCAAAAGATGGAAAGAATTGGTGAAAATTGTTTGAGGATATGTATATTGGTAGATGTCATTCAAGAACTAGCCTAGAACAAAAGCAATAGAAATCCAAAATGAAACGAGGCAGACAAAAAACAGGTAAAGTCTGTGAAGGGTATAGATAATCTTTCCTACCAATCGCACGTCTCTTTGAATTTGTTCTATTTATTGCAGAGTTTTTAATAGATTCCTATTTGTAGGAGATCCTTTGAAGAACTTTGGCAAACATTACTTTATTATGTAGTTACAGGATGTTAAAAAGGTCTTTAATTTGCAGTAGAGATTCAAAGAGTCTTCTATTTATGGAAACCCTTCACAAAAATTTCCAGCTATATACGACTTTTAGAGCCAAATAAGGAAAACTTCAGTACAGGGTTAGATGAGAAAACTGCAACAAAATCAAACGCCATTTTTTTTAATTTTTTTGAATGAAAGCAAATAATGTCGGAAATCGCATCAAATTTTAGAATAAGTTTAGATTTCGTAACTTTTGGCACGAATTATGGCCTTCAAACGGCCAATGAAACCGTCACACGCTGCCCGAATTTTGCTCTGCGGTATTTTGGCCCATTCCCGGCGAAGCGCTTGCTTGATGTGATCGACACTTTGGTAATTTTTAGTGCCAACCATGCTTTCCAAAATACTCCAGACACAATAGTCCAACGGATTGGTATCCGCAGACTTTGGTGGACATTGTGCGCTGGAAATGAAGCGAGTAACCTCCTTTTGTAACCATTCTTGGGTGGCGCGTACAGAGTGCGATGTTGCAGAATCCTGTTGGAATGTCCAAGGTCTGCGGACAAAATGTTTGCGTGCCCAAGGCTTTAATACACCCTTCAGAATATTTACGCGATAATATTCGCCATTTATTCTGATGCCACGGTCGATAAATACGAGAGGAGAGTGACCTTCGGCTGTTATGGCGGCCCACACCATCACCATGGCCGGGGCTTGAGTTCTGGTGGCCAACCGAAGGTGGCCATTTACAGCTGACCTCTTTGCCAAGTAAATACGATCATTGTGTTTGTTTAGAAACTTCTGGACAACAAATGTCTTCTCATTGGAGAAAACCAAATTCGGCAGTTCACCACTTTCGGCCAAGCGAAGTAACTCTTTAGCTCTTTTAAGTCTATTTTCTTTCTGTTGCGGTTTAAGTTCTTGCCCTTTTTGGAATTTCAATGGATTTACCCCGAGCTCATTTTTCAATATTTGCCGAATGGAGTATTGCGATATGTTCAGCTCACGAGCCATTTTTTGGCCACTGCGGCGCGGGTCTCTTACAAGCCGCTTTTTTACTTTTCGAACCATTTCTGGTGATGTTGCTGTTTTCTTCCGTCCACTTCCTTGACGTCCGGGCTACGATACCAGTATTACGGTAATCACGAGCGATGGTACGAGACACAAAAGATTTATTCACATTTAAATGCTGGAGTGCTGTAACGATAGCCACTTGTGCTGTAACGATAGCCAAAATGCTTTTGTACGCTTGTAAACAAACTTCAGTATATAGGCGCTATTAAAATGTCTCTATCATTAGAAGACACCCAGGAGAGAAAAATACAAAAATATCTTCAATTTTAAGTAGGTCTCTTGAAGATCTTCCTACTTTAGAAGAAAAAATATTTTTTAAAGGTTCTTAATGTATTGAAGAACTTTGTCCAATATATAAAGTCATTCATATGTATAGAAAACATACAAAACAACTTCCGTCTAGGACCAACGGCTAGGAGAAGACCTTTGACCGAGGGCTTTTTGTCAATAGAAGATTTTGAAATAGGCTTTAGAATTTATAAAATAATTTTATTTTATCTCACCATTTTTGGACCGATGTCTTTGAATTAATTTTATGATCCTCTTAAATACATAAATATCTCCTGTATATATGAGTACATATAAATATATTATGTCTGCAGCAAACTCTTCGTGCATACAGATCTCAAAAAATATCATAGAATACCAGGAAAAAGCCTCCTATCTGTAGACAAATTAAAAAAAGCTTTTTAGTTTTGAATGAGAAAGATCTTAATCTCATAGTAGCATATAGGAGAACGACCCCTCTTCTATTTGAGTGAATTCAAATGAATATCCTTTAGCTAATTTTAAACTCTGAGGGGGTTTCCATTTATTTTTAGACCATTGACTTTTTTTCAACATTTTTAGACAAGACCCATTTTCATTCAATTAAGAAAATAGCGAACGACAAAGGTTAGATATATATGGCGTAAAGGAGGGTATACAGTGATTTCAACCATTCCCACAAACACACATATACACAAAAATATCAATTATATACACCTGACATTTCAATAATTTTGTGATTTATTTTATTCTTATATACATACATACATATATATATATTTATATACATAGTTTTTCAACAATCTGTGTTTTAATCGTGGTTGTCTCTTTGACATTAGTTTAATTTATTTTATTTAAGAAATATACAAGTGTATACAGATTTACAAGTAAAACTTTTATTTTTGTTTATAGATTTATAGAATTATAAGATTATTAATATTAATTTTATTATTTGTTTTTATTTATACCTTGGTGCTTTGTAAAACAGTTGGATCTCTTCGTTTCGTAGTTACTATGACACACTAGTAAGTTTGTGTGTTGTTTTATACCCACCGCCATATGGCCATATGGCTACACAGAGTATATATCATTTGATACGGCCAGAAAGTGCCTCATCGAAATAGTGGTTTTAGACCCCAGGTATCTTCAGATCAAATTCGTTTCAGGACATTTGGAGTCGATCTAGCAATGTCCGTCCATTCGTCTGTCTGGCTGGTACGCACGATAACTCTCGAAGCGAGTATCCGATTTGGTCCAAACTTGGTACATCGTAATATTAATATCAAACTCAGATCGAGTTCTGAGATGAGCAATCTTTCTGGTACCTCCCCACAAAAGTTCGAAATTTAAAAAAAATATATTTTACTGCACAGAAAGGGAAGGGATACTCCGATTTTGCTTCAACTTTGCAAATCCAAATATTTGCATCAATAGGTCAGGTGCGAAAATGGACAATATCGGTCCACTTTTTTAAGTACCTCCCCCACAAACGGTCAACATTTTAAATAATTACAACTCTTATAAAATGTGATGTAAGAGTCCGATTGTCTTCAAATTTCACACATCCAAATATTTTTATCAACCCAAAGTCTGGTGTTAAGATGGAATATATGGGTCAATTTCTTCTGGTACCTCCCACACAAACGGTCGATTTTTTTTTTTAAAAAATATTTTTTGCACAGAGAGAGAAGCAATAATCCGATTTTGCTTCGACTTTGCAAATCCTAATATTTGCATCAATTATAGGTCAGGTGCTAAAATGGATAATATTGGTCCACTCCATCAAGTGCATCCTCCAAAAAGGATAAAAATGTTTAATAATTATAACTCTTATAAAATGTGATGTAAAAATCCGATTGTCTTAAAATTTCATACATCTCAATATTTTTATAAATCCAAGATTTGGTGTTAAGACGGAATACATCGGTCTACTCCTTCTGGTACCTCCCCCACAAAACGTCGAAATTTTGAATAACCTTTAAGCTCATAAAACGCGAAATTAACATCCGATTTCATTTAGACTTTCTATCAACACAGGATCTGTTATAAAAACGGTAGAGATCGGACAATTCCATCTGGTACCTCCTCCTGGTACCTCCTCCTGGTACCTTCCTGGTGCGATTGTCTTCAAATTACACACATCCCAACATTTTAAATAACCCAAGACCTGGTGTAAAAATGGAATACATCGGTCGACTCCTTATACCTCCCCCACAAAGGGTAAAAATTTTAAATATCCATCAAGGTCATATAACGCAAAATTAACATCCGATTCCTTTCAGACTTGGTACATCTCAATATTTCCATCAACTCAACATCTGTTATAAAGATGGTAGAGATCGGGCCATTTCTTCTAGTACCTACCCCACATAGGGTTCAAGATTTTAAAAAACAAAACGCTCAAAGAAAACGAAATAAGCATCCAACTCTCTGCAAATTTCACACACACACAAACATTTTTGCTAAAACAAGAACTGTTGTAAAGATTATATATACCTGCGAACCGTCTGGCACCTCACCCACAAAGGGTGACAATTTTAAATAATTTTATCTGTCATAACTTGCGAAATAAGTCAGCGATTCTTTATAACTTGCTGTACCTAAATATTTCTCTCAGCCTAAAACCTGATATGGATATTGAATTTATCGGAATTTATGGTTTTGCATAAAATTGGATATTAATGTTCGATTTCCTTGTGATTTTACCCAAACCAATTTTTATCTCTATTAGATGAAGTATGACAATGGAATACTTCGGTTGACTATATCTGGTACTTCACGAACATTTTAACATTAAATTTGATCACATCTCTAAAATAAAGTGATGGAAGTAGCCGACATAGTCCAGAACTGGCTCGTAGCAATATTTATATTATATTCATTTAGCTCTGATACGAAATGGACATTTGGAATATTTGGCCATTCCTTCGGAACCTACTCCGTAAAGGGTCAACAATTTGAATAATCATATGAATCATTTGAATATATTTAAATAATCGATCATTGACAGAGGGTATACATCTGTCGGCAAAACCGACTGATTCTTTTTAACTTGTTTTTTATTATTTTTTTTTTAACCATGGCATAAATATTTAAAAACTCTAAGAGTCGGGATTAGGTAACTGAATGAAATGTAAAAATGAATCTCTTTTCAAGAACAGGTATGAATCTGGAAGATTTCACTATCGATTTCAAACTCCCTACCACCAATTTCCATTTCTCTGTTAAAGAAGTTGGCGTGGCTGAGCTTTTTACTCTAAATTTATTGTTAGTCGAGACCCAACTGTATGCACATAAAGGCATATACTTTGTTTTAAAATCAAATTTTGTTTTTTTTTTATAATACACAATATATCTACTTACCCACACATATTGTACTACTTTCATGCTTATATATTTATAGTATTGTTAATATTATTTATTATTTTAATTAGCACTTAAATTCTAAACAGACATTCATACAAACACACACTTATTTGCTGTCTATGGTTTTCTTTCATTTTTTTTGTGCGAAAGAAACCCGAGACGAAAGCAAAACAGAACACCGAAAATAATTGAAAAAAAAATCTAATATATTTAAGAATATGGATTCACATATAGTTGCTGCATATCGCTTAACTGCTACCAAGAATAAATAAACAAATAAATGCTTTTATTGTAAAAAAATGTACAGAAGGTATGTTTTTAATATTATTATGAGTAAGAAAATATGGATTTGAGTTAAAGTAATTATTTTTGTATTTCAAAAAAGAAAAGTAATTATATTACTAAAGGTGCTAAGAAAAATGCAACAATTATTATCATTTTTTTTTTATTTTCATAAAATGTTTGTTTTGGGAAAAACTACAAACCATAGTGGTGGCTTTCACCAATTTTAATCCAAGATAGATGGACAAAATTATTTTATCCGAAAATTGTTGTTTTCATCATAACCTGAGACATATGACTAGAGAGAGTATACAGGGCGAGATAAAAAACTGCAACAAAGTCAAACGTCATAATTTTTACATTATTTTTAAATTTTAGTGAATGAAAGCAAAAAATGTCGAAAATAGCATCAAATTTTAGAATAAGTTGCCAATCAAACCGTCACACGCTGCCCGAATGTTGTTCTGCGGTATTTTGAATCATTCCCGGCGAAGCGCTTGCTTGATGTGATCGATACTTTGGTATTTTTTAGTGCCAACCTTGCTTTCCAAAATACTCTAGACACAATAGTCCAACGAATTGGTATCCGGAGATTTTGGTGGCCATTGTGCGCTGAAAATGAAGCGAGGAACCTTATTTTCTAACCATTCTGGCTGGTGCTGAGTCCTGTTGGAATGTCCAAGGTATGCGACCAAAATGTTTGCGTGCCCAAGACTTTAATACACCCTCCAGAATATTTTCGCGATAATATTCAGCATTTATTCTGATGCCACGGTTGATTAATATGAGCGGAGAGAGACCATCGGCTGTTATGACGGCCCACACCATCACCATGGCCGGCGCTTGAGTTCTGGTGGCCAACCGAAGGTGGTTATTTACAGCTGACCTCTTTGGCAAGTAAACACGATCATTTTGTTTGTTTATGATTTCTCATCGGAGAAAACCAAACCCGGCTATTCACCACTTTCGGCCAAGCGAAGTCTATTTTCTTTCTGCTGCGGTGTAAGTTTTTGCACTTTTTGGAATTTCAATGGCTTTCAATGGCCCCGAGCTCATTTTCAATATTTGCCGAATGGAATATTACGATATGTTCAGCTCACGAGCCATTTTTCGGCCACTGCGACGCGGGTTTCGATCAAGTCGCTTCTTTACTTTCGAACCGCAAAATTAATATCCCATTCCATTCAGACTTGGCACATCTCAATATTTCCATCAACACAAGATCTGTTATAAAGATGGTTGAGATCGGACCATTCCTTCCGGTACTTTCACTTCCTTTACAAAGGGTCAAAGTTTTAAATAACCAAAATGATTACAGAATCCGAAATAAGCATCCGGTTCTCTTCATATTTCACATATTCCATTAGTTTTACTAACACAACATCTGCTGTAAAGATGGGATATATCGGTCCACTCCTTCTGGTACCTCTCCTACAAAGGGTCAACTTTTTAAATAACCATGAAGTTCATAAAACGCAAAATTAACACCCGATTTTATTCAGACTTGGTAAATCTTAATATTTTCATCAACATAAGATTTTTTATATAGATGGTACAAATCGGACCATTCCTTCTGGTACCTGCCCCGAAAAGGGTTAACATTTTATAACTTATACTGGTCAGTGCGAAACTGGTCAGTGATTCTTTACAAATTGCTATATCTAAATATTTCTCGCAACTAGAAACCTGAGGTGAATATGGTATTTATGATTTCGCATAAAATTAGATATAAATGTTCGATACCAATATTTTTATCGTTTATATGCGGTACCTCACGCACGTTTCAACACTTTCTAAAAATACCAATATAATCTAAACGTGACACGTCTCAATATTTATATCATATTTACTTATGTCCGATACGAAATGGACAATATTGGCCCATTCCTTCGGAACCCACTCCATAGAGGGTCAACAGTTTGAATAATTATGACTGAAGTCCCCATATATATAAATAATCGAACATTTGCTGAGAGTATACGTCTGTCGGCAAACCCGACTAATAATAGGGGCACCAAGAGAAGTAGTTTTATTCTACCTCTTGTTATTGTACCATGGATTTAACGGCGTCCATCTGTCTGACCATTGCAATAAAAATAGGAATTTCTACCTTTAGGCCTATAATTATTTTTTTTCAACTTGCCTAAAAATAACTTTAACTTTTCTACGGTTGAAAATGTTCGAAAATAATATAAAATAATGTTCTAATAAATTACAGTTTTTGTGTAATTAAGGCTTTTCACATGTGAATTATTCAAAAAAAAAAAAAAAAAAAAAAAATATTCATCGTCGTCAGCTATTATTATCAATAAAATTGAACGACCATATAAAATATGACTTAACAAAAATTTACATCATTGAAAATTCAATATCCAAGCATAGTATTCAAATACATACGTATGTATGTGTGTGTGTGTGTGTTTGAATATAGCATGTTAGAAATTACTTTGGTGACCAGAAACTGATAAAAATTCACATGGTTTATTGATTGTTGAAACGTGCCAGTCGCATGCCGTTCGATCCTATTCGGTTGGATTAGTGCCCATATTGGCCAGAGACAAATGTATGCAAATTACTTTGCAAGCTTCTAATGGCGCGGTTAGTGCAGGCGTGGGAGTAGGAAAACTATTAATTCACATTATGAATTAATTGTGAAATTACTTTCATTGATGCATTTAATAAAAAAGAAATGCACTGAAAAAAATGCTGCACAAAAATGGAAATTAAAATAAAAAGAGAAAAAGTGAATCGGGAAATTTTGATACTAAAGAGGGGGCTTAGGATTCCGCATTACAATACGATAGTTGATCGATTAGGTTGACTTATAAAGAATGTTCCCAAGAGGTGTACTCTTTCTTCTTTAAATGACATTTGGCCCAACTTTGAATACTCTCCACCATTTGGAACGAATTTGGAATTTTCAAAAAATAAAATCCTTTAAAAAATCTGTTAAAATCATAAAAATACAGAAAACGTGGACCTACATAGGCATTGTTTGTCATAAGTAATTACCATATTCAAATTCGAAA